GGAAGCCATTAATCCGAGGGGAATCCCCCCCCCCCCCCCCCCAAAAAAAAAAAGAAGTTATATTTCAAAAGTAAACTCCAAGCGATGTCTAGGCAGTCCGCAAGACGCGTTTCTGATTTTAACTTGTGCGTGCCTTCCAGCACTTTCCTTATGAGCAACACGAAACAAAATGTTATTGGCCGTACTTTCAACAGGAAAGACCAAGAAAGCGCCCCAAAACTGATTTATTTTAGTCTTCGTCTTCCTACGGAAGAGATTTTGAAATTGAGATAGGAAGAGAGGGGGAGAGAGAGCAGTTTCAGTTTGTTGGGTAGGCACGGGACATCAAGAGGATTTAGAACTTATGATAATCTTCCTAGGGAGGTAGTAAGAGAGCAATTTCCCTGATATTGTACTTTTTCCTGTGTCCCTGGTGTTGTGTCCTCTTGCGCTTATCACCGTTTTATTCTCTTCTTTCTGCTTCGTTGTGATGAGCATCGGGTCGCATTGTGGGCCTTCCTATATCGCTATAAATTTATATTAGTATTGGGTTTGACGTTGGGTTTTCCTTATTGAATTTGCTGAACCGAACCCAACATCTATAAATCCCTGTCAGGTATTGAAAAGGGGTCATCCCCATTTCAATACGTGACGATATCTTTAAGCTCAGGTCTACCTGAATAATCTCGTTTAGACGTACTGCATACAATAAATGTCGCTTCAGATGATGCGATGCACCAGACTCACGCTTCTCAATTTATGATAGTTTCCAATGATGGATGCCCAATAATGCTCTATCAAGGCTCACCATTTCACTTGGACCAAAACTCGGCACAAAGCTCGCTCGTGAGGATAAGACGCTGCATGTTAGTCTTAAAGGGAAGGCAAATGAATTTTTTGCCCTCAGAGTGCGATAAAAATGGGCTTCATCTCATAGTGTGACTCATGGTACACTGTACTTTACTGCGCTTTAGATACATTCACCTCCAGTCTCCTTCCCATCAGTTTTCTCGTTTGAGTGAGCATCTTGACTTTTTTAACGCAACGTCTCTCACAATCTGGGATTCGTCGAAATGGGTCAGGATAAGAATACATACCAGAAGACCCAGTTGGATCTGGAATTAGGGTGTAAAATGGTTGCTGCCAAGGTCAACGCCCAAGTGCCGTATTGTGACGTGATCGTGAAAGTGGAAGACACGATCTTCTTCAGCAGCAGGCTCATTCTGGGTGCGTGGTCACCTTACTTCGATCAGATATTTACGACTGCATTCAAGGAAGCCACTGAAAAAGAAGTACACATTGAGGGAGTCTCAAAGATGGGCTTCAGGGGAGTTTGGGAATTCCTCCACGGTCCGGAATTCGTGATGGATGGCGAAGACGGAACACTTGCCATCCTCCGGGATGCCCACTTTCTCGGGATCCAACACCTCTGTTCCATTATCTCCAGAAAACTCATTGATATCCTTGAGCTTCGGAATGTCTTTCTCTTCCTCCGCACTGCCCAGGAACTGAACGAGAAGGACTTGGAGGAAAGAATACTCGGCTTCATGGCGCGTCGCTTCAATGAAATCGTGACAACACCTGGTTTCCTCCAGATTACATTTGAAACACTCAAGGGTCTTCTTCTTCGAGATGATCTGGAAGTGAAGTCGGAGGAAGCAGTATTCGATGCATCTAAAAGGTGGATCGAACAGGACCAAGGCCGGAAAGAATACTTGCCCCAAGTCCTTGATGCAATTCGACTTCCTCTGGTCTCGTTAGACTTCTTGAAGAGAAACGTGATAGCTGATCCCTTGATCCGCGGTGATCCTAGATGTGCTCCAATCATCAGTGAAGCAAAAGACTTCTACAATCCAGACTTTCGCGACACGGTCCCAATTGCCAAGACAATACAGCGTGGACCCAAATTTATTCGTGGCATCGACCTATCGAAGGGGGTAAAGGCAGAAGCCGTTTCTTTTCCTTTTTGGTGTAATTTCAATCACAATTCGAATAATGCCTAAAGCGTATAGTTACTCCATTTAGTTTTCAAATTGACCTTATTTCATTTAACAACCACCATAGACCAAAGAAAACCCTACGTCCAACAGTATTTCTACACAAAAGTTGTAATTATATTGTGGTACATTAGATTTCATGTTTAAAAAGTAAGTCACTACCTTATGCTGCTTAAACCCTAGGTTGTATTTATTTATTTTTAGTCATATGTACAAAACGTAAAAATCTCTTCAAATTTTGGTATGAAATATGCATTGAACGTTTTAAATCGTTTGACTTGATAAATTATTCTAACGCCTAAAATTTTCATCCAGAACTCGTGGAAATCCATTCGCCTGCATTAACCCATGCTTGAGTTATGGTAGATTTGCTAAAGATCGTTCAAATTTTAAGTGTACAGGAATGCGATATTCCAGTTATTGAGATTTTCTGGTTCTCATAATAGAATTTATCTTTAAAAAAAAAAGCAGTTCTTGTGGATTGATCATGAAAACAACAGAACATTATCCTACGCAGTCATGTGTTATGTCATGTGTGTAGACCTTACTCGCTGGTCGATTTGGCGTGGAATGCCCCCCCCCCCCCACGAATTATGGGGGGGGGGAAAAAAAGAAATTAAATTCATATATTCGGAAAGCCAGATTCAGTGTTCTCCACAACCACAAGGGAGATGGATCTTAAAATTTGCTGGATCTGTTCTTTGTTGAGAGAGGACGAATCTCGCTCAATTTCGTTCCTTTTGCTGCTCTCAAAGAGAAAAACTAGGAAGTTCATTTTTGCTACGGGACGGGATTGAAGAAAGGCAATAGGCACGATTGATGGTGTTTTTCATGCTCTGAATATGCCCGGCATGTGCATGAAATTTCAGGCATTTACTTGTGAATTTCACATAATTTTCTGTGCTTGGCACCTGAGGCGTATGAAAGCACATTAAAATTCCTTTCTTTCTTTTCTGATGTCGTAGAATAGGTCAGTAGCATACTTTTTTCCAGATGTGGCCTTTATTGTCACATCAGTGGGTGAGCCGATCACCTTGTGAGGAGGCGTTTGTTCCCGCGACCGCGCGGACCTTGAGATCTCTGAAACTGGTTGATAACTGCTCGGCGATACGAGGATGACATTCTTGTACTGATTATCGTTCCCTTGGCTGGAGCGATCAGTCCAGATTTCATCCTAGTGGACGATGACGCTTACGTTTACAGGGTCCTCTTTGTTCAGAATTCCACAAGAAGGAGTGGCGACATGCCATAGTGAGCATGGCATAACCGCCACGTACCATGGCATAACCGCCACGTACCATGGCATAACCGCCAGTTTGAAAGGGTGTAGAGCCTGTTTGTGACATGCCGCAGCGCCAAATAGATGGCTCCACGAATACTGGAAGACTTAGCCGTTGCACTTAAGGAGAATTGGGCTGCAACCTCGCATGACGAACTTTTTTTAAACCTTGTCTGGATCATGGGCAAGACGTTGTCGGGCTGTGATACATGCAATATGTGTAACGGGAAGACCAAGATGAAATGAACACGAGAAACAACTCACCTCTCACTTTTAACTCGATGGGTCCACTTCCGCCTGTTGGAAGCCACTGCTTCGACTGCAACTTAGTTTCAAGATCATAGATCCAGGTCTCATCCCCAGTTACAATTCTAGCTATAAAATCGTCAGGATCAACGTCGAACCTGTGAAAAAAAATTATCACTGCAATCTTCCCAATGATTCTTCTGATCTGGGCGCAACGCTTTTGGTATCCAACGTGCACAGAGCTTGCTCAGACCTAGATTCTCCTTCAGTATGAAATGAAAAAATCCTTGCTATTACCTACACCTTGATGCGTCGGTCTTCTTCCACCATGGCTTAAACGGCATCGATATTTTCATCAGTAACTGAGGTTGGCGGCCGACCACTGTGTGGGTCGTCTCCAGAGCTCTCTCTTCCTTCTTTGAGGCGGGGAATCCAGTCCTACACAGTAACCCGTGATAGAGCACTGTTACCATAAACGTTCTGCAGTACCTCAAGGATCTGCTTTTTTCCACTTAAGATTCGTAAGAAACTTCATATTAACACGAATCTAGAATTTCAGATATTCCACGTCGACGCTGAGTAACCTTTAACAAGTGAAACTCAAACAAAATCAAGCGCACAATGATGATGCCTCATATTGTCACTTGCAAACACTCAGCCTGTCAATACATGTCCTAACCATCTTCTGAACATGGTTACATAAAGGCGATGTCTGAAACTTTTTGGATTCTCCTCGTATTTAAGAAAATTTCTGGAAGATCATGCACATGAATAACATTTTTCAATGGATGAAAAGAACACAAATAATAGCGTCCTGTTATGTTTTCATGATGATCTAACCACAAGAAACAACTTCTTAATTTTAATTATATATATAACTAGCGAGTTTTTTGCCCTTCCGGCAAACAAACTCACTTTGGTCGCGCCTACAGCGCTCCATTACCTTGGATAGTGAATAATTCATTTATTTTTTGTGAAATGGGAAACACGTATTTAAAGTACGTCCTCATTGAAATACGTGACATATGGGGTCGAAAGTCTTGATTTTTATCTAACTCTTTACCTCTATGATTCTGCGTGCCTAACTTTAAATCTATTCTTGTGTCCCTTTTAGTAAGGGTGGAGAATACATTTTGAAATACCTCCCCCCAATAATCTACGCTAAGGAAACATATTTAAAAAGTAGGATTTTTCATGTACTCAGCCATTAAACAGGTACTTCTGAGGGAAGTTTAAATTTTCTGTCTCTGTTGCTTTGGATAAAAAAAAAACCAGGAAAATGGGATTTAAAAAAAAGTGCCCTGATGGGTTTTATCGGAAAATGTTTTTCTTCTGAAATGGAGACTTAGGGAACTCCATGCCATCCAGTTTCAGCTTTAAACGTTTCCCTTTTTAAGTTAGCGGCAGTCAGTCATCTACTCACGATTGTCCACATATAATAAAATTAGAATTTTTTATTTACGCAGCTATCCATCAGGTCCTTATTTGGCAAGTTTTTTAAAAAACTTTTTAGCGCCCACTGTTTTGTTGGATCAGAAAATTCGTGAAAATACGCATTTTGCAAAATATGTGCCCTGAGCCGTTTTAATCGAAACCCACCATTTTTTTCTTACCGAAATCCATCCTCAATGAACTACATGGCCACAACGTTTCAATATTATACGTTTCCCCTTTTCGCTGGTGAAAAAACATGTTTGGAAAAGCCCACTCACCCTAACGCTATGCCCGGAGGGGATGCACCATGAAAGTTGAATACTCCCTCAGCTCAGAAATAGCATGTCACTTATAAGTGCGCCACGTTTCACCTTTCCATTTCTGTCCAATTCGCCACGACAATTTCTTTTTTCAAAACATCGCACCTCGAAAAAATTCCCCCAGGGGATGTATCGAAATTTGACATGTTTATTTAACTCATTGTTTCAATAGTCACATTCATGCAAAGTTTTAGCTTTCCATGTTCATCAGTTTAACTGATGCAAAAAAAAAGTTGAAAACATCTCCCTTTGAAATTTTTCCGCCAAGGGCATTTACTTCCAAAGTCTGAAGTTTTCTGCAGCATCGCAATAGGTAGTTATGTACCAAGTTTCATCTTTCCACACTAGCTCAATACGCAAGGACAAAAAAAAATTGAAAACGTCGGCTCAAAGCAATATGCCCCCAGGGCATGGATATAAAAATTTGTATTTTTCCTGAACTCATCGTCTCGGTAGGCACCTCCACGCCAGGTTTTAGCAATCCATGTCTCCGTTTTACTCAGGCAAAAGTAATGTAATGGAGGGGAATGAGTAACGGGACATGGAAAGCAAATAAAGGCAAAAGAAAGCCAAGGATTGGCACGGAATTGAAGCCTGACCTTCTGATTGCCAGTTAGATACTCTACTACTACACCACCGGACCCAGCCCATCCATATGGCTTTCTGAATGCCCTCCTCATCAGTCACAAAATATATTTAAGGAAAGACGTCTCCCCCCAAAATGTGTCCCCCCAGGGCATGTACCTACAAAGTCGAATTTTTTCAGAGCTCTGCATCCCAAAAGGTACATATGTACCAAGTTTCAGATTTCTAACCCTTCTAGAACATGGTTAGAATTAGCGTCAGTCAGTCAGTCAGTCTGTCACGATCGTCTATAGACACTCAATGTCCACAAAATTAGAGATACCCCTACATTCAACTTTCCATACAGCTACAGCATAACCTAACCTAGGTCAGGTAGGTTAGGTTGTGACATAAAGCAGGCAGCCCTGCTTTAGTGTGTGTGTTTTGACTGCAGAATGGGCAAATCAACAGACCTCAGCGACTTTGAACGTGGAACGGTCGTTGGTGCCAGAATAGCTGGTTTGAGTATCGCGGAAACCGTCAAACTGCCAGGCTTTTCACGGGCATCAGTTTCACGGGTATACCGTGAATGGTGTGATAAGCGAGGAACATGCCCAGGAGTTTACTTCGCCCCTGTGGTCCGCACAGTCCCCTGATCTCAATCCAATAGAACATCTTTGGGATGAGGTGGAACGGGCTGTACGGGGCTTGCCTGTACTGCCACCAAACAAGCGGCAACTTAGTGACGCTGTGCTAGCAGCATGGGCCGGGATACCTGCAGAACGTTTCCAGCACCTCGTGGAATCCATGCCACGACGAATTGATGCTGCTTTGAGGGCCAAAGGCGGTCCAACACGCTACTAGTGAGGTATCTCTAATTTTGTGGACATTGAGTGAATATTAGATGAGAACAGGAAAATCTCAGAAATTCGAAAGTCACATTGTTCTTCGCTCAAAATTTCGACAATTTCACTAAATCTGCTATAACTCAAGTATGGATCATTATTTTCGCATANATAATAAAAGTTTTTTGGGGGCGAATGTTTTTCCAATTGAAGGAAGCACCAGAACGGCACAACGAAGAGATGACGCTCGCTGAAAAGATGAAACAGAAGTGCAAAAGCATTGACGGATTCATTCATGAACTTCCCCAGAAGAAGATAATGGAAGATCCAAAAAATCGTTTAGCCAAGTTTGAGATCGGCGAGAGAGGAGCAAAATGTGGACCGGGAAAGGTACTTATGCTCGTTGGAGCCACAGGAGCAGGTAAAGTCAATCCCCTTCAGGATGAACGCTTCTTGGCCAGGTTTATATTCATTTAATTTCAGAGCTCCTTCTTTTCCTCCTCAGGCAAAACTACACTCATCAATGGGATGATGAATTACGTGTACGGAGTGAAGTGGGAAGACCCTTTCCGTTTCAAGCTGATTAAGGACCGTTGGCTCGAAGCTAGGAGTCAGACAAAGTGGATCACGGCTTACGTCCTACACCAACAGGAAGGATTCCGTCTGCCCTGTACTTTGACTCTCATCGGGTTTGGGGACACTGAAGGGATCATGGCAGACAAGGAATTAATTATTCAAATCCACGAATTCTTTTCCCATGGTGGGAACATCGGAGTGGATCAGCTTGATGGAATCTGTTTCGTTATACAGGCCTCCTTGCCAAGGCTGACTCACACTCAAAAGTACATCTTTGACTCGATCTTGGCCGTATTTGGGAAAGATGTTGAAAACATTATCTACGTGCTGACTACCTCTGCGAGCCGCGAGAAGCCTCCTGTTCTAACTGCCCTCAAGGACGCTAAAATTCCGAGCAGAAACTCTTTCAAAGTAAACAATTCTGCATTTTTCGTCAAACCGTCAGATGAACCCGATGCTGAGGATTACTACAGCCTTTTTTTGGAAAATGGGAATATCATGCTTTGATAAATTCTTCAAGAAGTTCATTCAGACTAAACCCGTGAGTCTGACTCTGACTAAGGATGTCCTGCATGTGAAAAAGGACTTTGAGGAAGCACTTCAAGGTATCCTACCGCAACTTAAAACAGGTAAGAATCATTTTCAGCTTCTTGCATCGGTCAAAGTAGATGTATTTGTCTGAGACTGAATACATTCTCAATAGCTATGTCGAAACTGGAAGAGCTGAGGCAAACGCATGCAGCACTAAGACAACACGAAGCAGAAATGAATGCAAACAGAAACTTTACATACACAGTTAAGGTCCCAAAACAAAAAAAAATTGACCTGAAGTGCGGAGAGTACGTGACGAACTGCTTAAAATGCAACTACACCTGTCATTATCTATGCGACATTCAAGACGACAGGGAGAGGAGCAAATGCGCTGCTATGGTACCTATAGAAGGGAATAAAAGGTGCGGCCTTTGTTCTGGGAACTGCTCGTCGGACGAACACGTGAACAACCCATATCGCTTCGAAACCTATGAAGATGAGGAAACCAATACTTACAAGGATTTGAAAACCAGGTATGAGGTAGCATCTGGGAAAAGGTTGGATGCACAAGGCATTTTGAATGAACTCGTCAAGGCCTTCAACCATGAGAGAGCTAAAGTTTTGAACCTGACCAAAAGAGCACATGAATGCTTACGGAAGCTTCACGCAATAGCCTTGAAGCCCGATCCATTGGACCTCACGGATTACGTTGATCTCTTGATTGAGAGTGAGAAACGAGAAGGCAAACCTGGCTTTCAACAAAGAATCAAGTATCTTAAGGACATGAAGGAGAAAGCCCGTTTGGCCCAGGTCCTCGAGGATGATTTTGATCCATTTCAGGAATACATGAAAGATTTTAAAGAAAAAGGGATAGATATATCGATCTTCGATCCTTACGAAGATCAAAAAATCTTTAACCGTGCCTTTGAAGGAATCAGGAAATTCCTTCCTATTGGTGGAAATTTTGCTTAGGCAAGATTTTAAAATTCATCGTTTCTGGTGGGGTGCTTTTCCATTTCTCCTTGACCGCTGCATAAGTTGCTGACGCTGGTTGTGTAAGTAATTGTTTCGTCAGTAACATTGGCTTGTTACGACAGTAGCGCTGAAACTCTTCCCTAGGCATTCCATTTTTTAACAGCAAGAAATGTAAATTGCTATGAAGGAAGCTGGTGGTTCATGCTTTCGTGGAAAATGTGAGTTATGGGTCAAGCTACATCAGATAGGATTGGAAGAAAATCAGCAGAACGACGCAACAAGTCAAATCTATGTGAAATGGTGAGCGATTTGAAATTAATATTAAAAATAACTTAGTCAATATTCACATTTTCACTTGCATGAGAATTGACAATTCCATTAAAAGATATGTCATTCCGCATAAAGTCATTGAGCATTGGTCGGGTAACGCAAACTGCCTTCACAACACCAATGTACCGCTTTGAATATAAATGAATGACGCTTTGGTCCAATTTTGTGATTCTGGCCTGGAATATGCCATTTTAAAAATTCCCAGTGATATGGCAAAAACTAAATAATCCGAAAATTGGGACGAAATTCTAAACGAACTTCACCAATGCAATAGGAACTTGCTTGTGAAAGTCGAACATGATAACAAATTTCTCTTCTTGGCGGAAAAAAATAGGTTGCACTGCACATAGTTTACCAATTTGTCCAAATGTCTGGGGGCCAAAAGCTTCATTGACGTCAATCACAAAGGAACGCTGTGGGTCATGAAATACCAACCCAACAGACAAAGAAAAATGATATCTCTAACAACACAAATATAGTGAATGATCATCAAGCCATTAGCATTCGAAAGCAAGCAATATCTTCCCACAAGTGCGAAGCATCACCTTTGCTTCCACTTGCAGGGTGGCCTAAAAAAAAACATGTCTTTCAGAATATTTTAATGCTGATTTAATTTAAATTAATTAGTAAAAAACGGATTGAAACTGAGATAGATAATAGAAAGTGTATTGCATTCAAAAATTCATCTATATCTTTTTATTTAAATGCACTATTTTTGGCAAAGGATTAATGGGAAATTAAACTTTTCCGAAGGGCACTCTGAATTTACACTGCTAAGAAACTCAACGAGTTCCAGCACAACCCGTACTGTTGTCAATGCGTCATGGCAGCGAGGCGTTAATCCTTTTTTATGACCCTGTGGCGTCATCTGCTCAAATTATCACGTTTTAAAATAACTAGGAAAATTAGAGCAAGACTTAATTTTAAAAGGCCCTGTAAGTTTGAAATTCGAGAAAAACGCGCGCATGTTTAGTGACACGCCCACGCAGATTCATCACATTTGATTCATTTTCCCTAGGTTTGCCGTATTCTTCTACTTATTGCCATTTAAAATTGTTTAAAGATGCTTATTTCAAAGGACAGAGCAGTTATTGAAGTGCTGGGAAAGAAAAGCAAAGGGAATAATTTGCCATCACAGCTCCCAGCAGTGATCGCAAACTCCCAACGATCAAAAAATCGCGCAATTGATCATTGGAGGAAAAAATCGGAAAGTGCAGCTGAAAATAGAGATGTCTTTGAATATTTGCTATGTTATCGCTTTGCTACTGGGGCACTTTAGTTCTGAGCAGTGGTAATTCAGATTGTTTTTCGAAAATAATTCAGTTTCTCCACAATCCTCTTTCCAGATGTAACCACAATTTAATTGAAAGCCATATTTAATACGAGGGTCGGTACAAAAGTAATGCTTGGGGATTTTTTTCTCGATAACTTTTCAAGCAAAAATAAT